ACTTCCCAGGCTGACTTTTCCATTCGCTCTCTCCTCTTTCCCCTTTCATTTCCCTACCTTCAAGCCTTGATATGTGATCCGAGGTGGGGGCTCAGGTTTCCGTTTTTACAGCTTAGGCCCCGATGGCTGTATACATTCCTTTCTCTCTGCTGGGCAGTGATTACTTACCAGGGCTTAGTTTACACTGGTCCAGATGAAAGCTGTTCAGATGAAGGCAAATACAGCCAAGCTGCCCCAGCGGCACTGATATGAAGCCGTACAAGGCTACATTGTGTTCTCGATGACATTTTGTTGCACACATTTTTATACAGGGCAACCAACTTGTTATGTTACCCTATACTTCAGTTCAGGAAGCTGAAGGGATAATAATACCGTGAGGGGTAGGGAGGGGTTCTGTTGGTGTGGTGATTAATATTAAAATCAGAAAATAATAATGTGTTCAAAATAACTCTGTAACTTTGAGAACCTACTTTTTAAGTAAGGATTTTTTTTGGGGGGGGGGGGGTGACGTTATATTAGAAGAATGCCTATAAACTCACTAGACACCCTGGAATGGTATACATGGACATGCCAGGGTCTTTCATATTGTTCCAAACTAGAGAGAAAATGCCACAACTGAATTATGTGCTGCTAAAAAAGAAAAAGAAAAAAAAAACCTTCTCATTTAATGCTACAGATTGAAACAAGAATTAAGACTTCAAATAGTAGAAAGCAATCTGGAGGGAAAAAAATAACATTTTAAAAAGAGGAAATTCTGTGCATCCAGGTTAATCCCACACTCAGTCCTGCAGCATGGGCCGAGCACTGTCATTTTTCCCTTCACACAATGTTGTTTTTGTTTCTTCCCCACTAGTTCAGACAAACATCTGTTATGCTGCAGAAGGACAAACTATCTCCCAAACCACGGAGTGTGCCTGCAGCCAAAGCCAACAGCACCGGCCCCAAGCACCAAGCACAGTCAGCCTTTATATCCAGCCGGGATAACGTTTCACATGTTTTGATTAAAATTAGCTAATTTGTAATTCTAGAACCTATGAAACTTAAAAGCTGCCATCCATATAGAGGGCATTAGGCAGCGTTTTAAAGGGCTAGAGCTAGCTGTGATTTCCTAGTGGCCTTCTCTTGTCGTCCCCCACTGTCCATTTAAAACGACACGGAAAAGTAATGTAGAAACACAGGACAAGAAGGAAGGGCCAGAATTGCAGGGCACACTCTGACTCGTGGAGAGAAAACAACTTTTACTTCTTTCTGTCTGTCTTTCTTTCTTCCTTCCTTCCTTCCTTCCTTCCTTCCTTCCTTCCTTCCTTCCTTCCTTCCTTCCTTTCTCTATCATTGGAATCAATGTGGCTTCTGTTACAGGGAACGGTATTAATTTCCAAGGCAAAGCTTCTTTACTTTCCCAGACCGATTTCCTCTGCTTCCAGACACTAATTCTTCACCCCAAAAATAAAAGCCCTACTTCCAAAATGTGGAATACTGGTGAGACTTCCGGGAGAGAGGTAAAGTTATGAACATACACCTAGTTGCACAAACGCATAAGCTGTGTTTGCCCTTTCTAAGCATGGGCTTCACCACGGCACTTTCACTAAATACGCTTGCTATAACCAAGAAGACGCCAAAACGCAGTAACAGTGAATTAGTCCCATTTTTAACCAGTTTGCCTTTCAAATACAAACTTAACCAATGATGACCAAGTCACCTGACTATGTTGAGTATTCTGTGCAGAAGTGGGGAACACCAAGAAACGCAAAAAACAAGCCTTATACTTTTTTTGGCAAGTCATAGAAACAAAAGTATAGACATAAAGGAATTTTTTTTTTTTTTGGTAAAAATCGTGAAATCCACACAAGACAAAAATCCTCGTCCAGGCAAAACGCACAACTTTGAGGAAAATAAAGAAGTGGGGGTGACAGAGGGAGAACGATGTTCTCGGGCTTCAGCGCGAACAGCTGGAGCGCCAGGAGGCTGCGCTCGCCACCTCTGGAGCACCGCTGGCCTGGCAGGGAGCCCGGCCTCGCAGAGAGGACTCGGGGCTGGCCTTCGTGAACAATGGGCAGGCGGCTGTGAAGGCCGCCCCTCAGACAGCTGGCTTTCAGCCGGGCTTGCCCAGTCTGCTAACTGGAAAGTGAGGCGTGCAGAGGCGAGCTGGAGACCGACCGGGGCAGCAGCGGAGAGGAGCGGCCGGGGGCGGCAGAGGCGAGCCCGCTGGCTGCACCGCCCCTTACCCGCGCCGCTCCGGCCCAAGCCTCGAGCACTGACAGCTACGCGGTCGGTCGCAGCTGGCGAGTTGGAGCAAAGAGGGATCATCGAGCTTGGGGACGAACTGGGAAGAGGGGTGGAATCCAGGTATCCCGGTGCCCTGGCTCGGCAGCTCTTAACTTTGGAGGGGTCCGGAGGCTCATTTCGGAAAAGGGAAGAAAAGCTACACGGACCATTGGGAAAGCCTCTGCGCCATGCCCACTCGCCGCTAGGGTCCGGTACCCTCGCCCTGAAACATCTGCACTAATCTAGGGTTTGGGAGGTTAAATAGTATGCTTCTCCCCCCCCCCCCCCCATCGCCCCCATCAGATCTGAGGTTGGCAGATTTCGGGGATGCAGCCCGTGAGTTGGCCTCGGTTTGGCACCTGGAGGGGGAGCTGAGGCGTCCCGGGGACCCGACAGAAACTGACAAGCGCGCCCCTGTCGTCGTCGTGTGTCCCCCCCCCCCGCCCCCAAGCCTATACAACAGCCCGAAAGGGAGCGGACGGAAGAAAGAGCTCGGTCTCCCCGGCCCTCGAGTCCGAGAATACCTTCATCTCCTCGTTGATCTCCCTCTTCACGGGGTGAGCCGGTTTCCGGCTCCGTTTATTTTCCGGAGGTCTCCCTTCTTTCTCCATTTCTGCCATGTTTTTGTGTCTGGTTTCTGTGGAGATGAAATGGCTGCTGCCGCCGCCGGCGGTGGTGGTGGCGGCGGCGGCGGTGGCGGTGGCGGTGGCGGAGGTGGAGGTGGTGCTGATGGTGGCAACACTGGCGGAGGTAGCGGTACTGGCGGGTCCGGGGCTGGGAGGGGGGAGGCAGGCGAGGGAGGAGCGGGGTCTCTTCTAGCGGCGGAGACCGTCAGTGGCCGTCACGGGGAAGGGTAGCCCGGGGAGTCTCGGGGATGCCGCCGCCGCCGCTCCTGCCGCCGCCGCCGCCGCTCCTGCTGCTGCTGCTGCCGCCGCCGCTGCCGGTGCCGCCGCCGCCGCTCCCGCTCCCGCCGCCGCCGCCGGGCTGCATCCCCGGGGCCCCACGGAGTCGTCAGCCATCTTCCTGAGCTCTGTCCGTCCGCATGGGCGAGAGGAGCGCCGGCCACGGCGGAGACAGCTGCTCTGGGCGTGCGTGCGTGGATATGTGTGTGCGCCCGGGAGAGCGCGCCAGCCCCGGCGCCCTGCGCCTCCCGCGAGCCGAGCCGCGGGCGGAGGGAGGGACTGCGCGGGGAGGGGTCCGAGGGAGGGGAGGCTCGGGGTAGGGGGGGGGGGACTAGGCCAGCCCCCCGCTCGCGAGCGGGCGTGGCTTCCCGGTCGCTGTAGACGCGGATGCTACGCCGCCGCTTCGGGGGCTGCTGGCGGCCGCCCGCTCCTGGGCGCCGGGCACCGGCACTCCTCGCGGCCGCCGCCTCCCCGCGACGATCCCTGCTCGGCGGGCGACGGGCAGACCCCCTACCTGCTCCTGAACTTTGTGACGTGGGCTCCCGTGGGCTCAGAGTTGGCTTCTGAGTCTGGCCTAGAGTCCACTAAGGCAAAATGTATGGGGGTGAAGGGTGGAGGTGGAGCGTGGAAGGGCGCAGGGACCCGAAAGCAGAGCGAGCTCTCGGCCCTGGGGTTGCAGCGCCGAGTAGCGGACTGAAACACAGACCGGACCCACCGCTCTGGCTCGAGTGTCCTGCCCCAGGGGCCACGGCAGACTGTGCGGAGGCTGGATGTCCCTTAGAGGGGTCCCCAGCGCGGCGTGCCCTCCGACTGTTTGCCAGGAAGCTTTCGCCTTCCTGAGACCGACTTAGAAGTAGGACAACTCAGCCTTCAGCTCCCTGGTTTCTTTCTTTCTCTTTCTCTCTCCCTTCCCCCTCCGCCCCACGAGCACTCTTATGCCCTGTTACACAGTAGCGTCTTTACCCCGTGACCCCGCGTGCACCCTCATCATGCCCTGGGCTTAGTGGATAGGACCCCTCCCTCCAGGAGCCCGACGCCCTCGCCACGCCCAGCAGGACCCTCTCCTCTCCGCGGGGTTCCACACTCTTCCACTAGACTCTAATCTGCAGGTTCCAGAGCCCAGCTCATCCTTCATTTGCTCACGTGTCCCCTCTTGGCCGCCTCTGTCCACGCCCTAGGCCAAGGTCGGCTGCGCCTGTCCCTGCCTTTTGGGTTGAGATATTGGTGTGAACCACTTGATCAGACTCCAGCGACAACACATAGCTCTGAAAGCTCCTACACACTGCAAAGGGGCACCTCGACGTTCCCAGTTCAGGTTCAGCTTTCCCGCGCCGCTCCACTTTGTAATTACCTGACACAATGTGATATGGGGGTGTCCATTGTTCCGCGGCTTGTTATTACAGAGTGTTCATTATGACAGTGGTGGAATTTAAAATTACACATTTTTAAGTACTTAAAAAAGATAGAATGAAATCGGTGTGGGGGTATGAGTAAGCTTTTCATTAAAATCTCAGCTCGGCCTATCAAGTGGGGTTCATTCTGAGTATTGCATTGCCTAATTTGCATTTTAGCATCGTTTTGTCTCTTAAGCATCGAATTAAAGATATCTGTGAGCATATTCCAGAGGGCTGAACATTCATATTCTATGAAGCCTGTTTTGCATTTTAGCATAATTTGTTTCGTACACACCGAATTCCACATATTTGGGAGTGTACTAGGGAAAGCAACTCTTCCTTGCATGTGCTGAAGGTTCGAAGGGAAGCAGTACCCAGCTCCTCCTCCTCCTCCTCCTCCTCCTCCTCCTCCTCCTCCTCCTCCTCCTCCTCCTCCTCCTCCTCCTAGTAGGGTCTATCCCAAGCCATCCAGGAGGACCTGAGGGAACTGCTATGAGTCAGCTTTCCCTGTTAAGGGTCCTGGTGAAAGACTCTCACCCAGAAGGGGTAAAAAAGATAACACTTGGGACCCTTAGCAAGTTTTCAAGAAATTAAGAAGGGGAGGATGGAAATCGAGGGAGCATTTTCAGTTACAGCTGTGCCTCAGTGAGATTTTTACAGTAGCCTCGGGAGCATATCCAGGTGCATCCAGCTTGGGAGGCCCAGGTCCTCTGGCTGGGTCTAGAAATTTGCAGTAGACCTTGGCAAACCTCAGTGACCCAGTAGTAAGAAGGCTGAGAGAAGCCCAGACCTATTTACATTTACACCCCTTTCCAGATCACTAACTTGTGTGGTGTTTGGTGGGCTGAGCTTTAAGCAAGGAGTGTCTCCATGATACTGCTGCTGGGAGAGGAAAGGGAGGAAATCCTTGGGAGTTTTTAAATCAGAATTTCACCCAGACAATACGTGGATGGGAGCAAGTTTGTTCTTTGTATTCTGTCCTCTTAGCTAAAGAAGTGCTGGGGAAACTTTTGTTTTTTTACTTTCGGAAAGTGTCAAACTTCAGACACGTGTTGTAAAATAAACTATGCAATAGGAAGCCTTTGTCTCTTGGAAACATATTTAGGTCTGCTCTGTTTCCTTTGGTGCCAGAGCTGTCACAATTGATTCACTGTTGTTCCGCTGATATCAAGTAACAAGTTGTATACCCCCAATCTGAGATACAGTTTCACAAGAAACAAGTAAACAGAAAAGGTAAACTATGGCCCAGACTTATATTTAGAAGCAGCTGTACTTCTTTCAAAGAAGGGGACTTTAAAGAAATAGCCCAGATGTTTAATAAAAATAATGGCATTAATCAGCCACCTGTTCCTCTGTGCCCTCTAGAAAACTGAGGTAAGAAGACTGGATCAGAACCCATGAAGCACGTCTTTACTGGCAATGGAAGCACAGAAGTATATATGAGGAAAACTGCTTATCTGACATAAACTTTGGAGCTGTGATTGCTACCTGTTCATGAATCTGTGTTTTCCCAAATGCACTACAGAACGCCGGTAGAGCAAGAGTTGATGCTGTATGCCCTTGGAGTCCAGTCAGATCATGTTCCCTGGACAACTTCATTGTAAAAGTATAACTGTGGTAGAAACAATAACATAAATACTTCTCTGAAGACTCCTCCACTCCACCCCACACAGCACCCAAGCCTCCCTGTATGAAGTTAGTCCTCAGACTCCTCCACCCCACCCCCACACAGCACCCAAGCCTCCCGGTATACCGTTAGTTCTCATTTTCCCTCTTGTTAGGCCTGCCAATCACCACGACGGACACAGGCCCCGCCTTCTATGTATTCCTCAGGAGTGTTTTCGTGCTTCCCCTCTGTAGGGTTGCTTTTGGTCTTCACTTGAGCCTGCTTTACTTAGAAAACACATCCGAGAACAGACAGGAAGACCCCAGAGTGGTCTTCTGTAGGTATTTGTTATCTGTAGACCCCTCCTATAGATATTGGTTATCGCCTAGAATTGATTAGTGTACCCTAAAAGACATCTTAAAATTTTTCCTGTGCAATATTTGAAATGAGTGTTCATCTTGAACAAACTCTGTGCTCTAGCTAAAGGTGAGGATTAAAATATAATTATGATGTTGAACACATGATAGGAATTATCTCACTTAATATTCATAAAACCCCATGAAGCTACTTTGTTATCTCAAGTCACATAAGGAAGCTGAATCTTATACAAGTTGCCAAGAAGTACTGGGATGTGGACTCATAACTTCCTGTCCAATTCCAGTTCTGGAGTTTTAAATACCATGCTAATCTGATTTAATTGAATTCCTGTAACAATCTATGTTTTACCTAATCTAAGGCCCACAGATCTAAGATTAACATGCATTTTACCTTGAATTCTTATGTTTTAAGTGGTATTTCTTGCTAATGGTACATAGGCTAACAACATATTTCCCACTCAGTAACACATTAGATTTCCTTGAGTTAGGTTGCAACAACCAGTCTTAGGAAACATCCCAGAGGTTTAAAACAAGCAAGATTTGTTTTCTAGCTCCAACAAAGTTGGCTAAGTGTCATGGTGGATCTCTTTAGCAGTTATCCTCTGTGCCATGGCTTGGGATACACATCACACATACACATGCTTTCACAGTCTATAGAGAAGATGGGGGCCTCGGGAACTCCCATGGCAGGAACATATACATTGTCTGGAGTTAGTCACAGAGATCTGCCCGACCCATAGGGAAGCTAGGAAGTTTAATCCTTCCAAGTCCTCCAGAAGACAGGAGAAGTAGAGGCAAGTATCTACAAACACATCATCAGTTCACTGAAATACAGTTGTTAGGATCCACCAGTGTAAACGTTAGGACTCTTTTTTATCTAGACCAAATGTACAATGATGGTCTTTCTGATTAAAATATGCTTCAGAACTCATGATTATGTTCAACTGCAAAGAACAAAATTGTAGAATGAATTTCAATAAGAGTTGTAGAAACAGTATATTTCTAGTTAACGTGGTGCTTTAACCATGGACAACAGAGAGGTTCTCAGGAGTCTGAGACCTAAAATTATACAGACACTCTGCTTCTTTGTGGTTTTTGTTGTTGTTTGCTTTTTGTTTTTGTTTTCTTGAGGATGGGTACCTGTCTAGGTTTATTGCTTATTTATTCATTAACTCAATAAATACGTGTGGAAGACCCCAGCACTGTTTCTGGGTGCTTGGCAGCAGCAAACATAACTTGACAGGTTTTCACATCTCACAACGTGTTTGTTTTTTTTGTTTGTTTGCTTGCTTTTTTGTGACAGTCTTGCTTTGTAGCCTAGGCTGACCTTGGACTTGAGATTCCCTTCCTCAGCCTCCCCAAGGCTGGAATTATAAGTGTGTGGCAGCATGTTCAAGTATGTGACACCATATTCAAGTGTGTGACACCATGTCCAAGTGTGTGACACCATGTCCAAGTGTGTGACACCATGTCCAAGTGTGTGACACCATATCCAAGTGTGTGACACTATGTCCAACCCTCACAGACTTTAGAGTCTGAAAGTAAAGCAGCAACCAAGGTAACAAAGCATACGGTGTTATTTTATTGTTTATTTAGTTAGTTGGTTAGTTAGTTAGTTAGTTAGTTAGTTAGTTAGCTAGTTAGTTTTGAGACTGGATTTTTTTTTCTCATTTTCGTAGCCCAGGCTGGCCTAGAACTAACTATGTCATCTAGACTGTCCTCTAACTTGTAGCAATCCTCCTGCATCAGCCTCTGAGGTGCTGGGGTTACAGCCACCACACTCAACTTTTAAAAAGAACTTAGAAAATGTGGTGGTGGTAAGTCTACTTTAGCTAAAACACGAAGGCCTCTGAGAGGAAATTTTGGACTTGTAACAGGAAAAACAAGAAGGAGCTGGCCATGCAGAGATCCCAGACTCCGGGAGAAAGTGTTGTGGGCAGAATTTTAGAAGAACTGAAGCACAGCTGCTCAGCGGGGCTGAGGACTTGAAAGTGGCTGTGGTGAGGTTAAGATTTTGATATACTGAGAAGTGTTGCGTTTGTTTCAACCTTCCTAATGCTGTGACCCTTTAATACAGTTCCTCATATTGTAGTGACCCCCAACCAGAAAATTATTTCATTGTTACTTTGTAACTGTAATTTTGTTAGGAATCATAATAGAGATATCTGACTTGTGATCCCTACAAAAGGGGCATTTGACCCCAAAGGGGTTGTGAGCCACAGGTTGAGAACCACTGAGCTAGATGAAGCTGGTGAGAAGAAAGGAATACATAACAAGATTATAAGGAGCCTGCAGTCATGGTAAAAGGAAAAGACTTGAAAAGTGGGGTGGACAGATGCATGGAGAAAGACATTCAACTATGCCTGGAAAGGCCCCAGTTCCTTCCAGTTCTACTGCGTGTGCAGGCCACCTGGCCATGATGGCTTTGCCATTAAACACCAAGATAGCCCAGCACCCTTGAGTGGAGTCCCCTCCTGCTTCTGCTCCAGGAATGCTTCATATCCTTGGCCATGCCAGCTGAAGACTAGCCCAACCAGAAGAACAGGGGTGGGCTTTCCTTCCATGACAGGCACATAAATTCTCTGGTTCCTATCAGCTTCATGTGAACTTGAGGCACTTCCAGTAAAATGAGGGATCCCATCTTTATGGGGGGCCCTGAATTTGGTACCCTAGTTTACTGATCAAGTCTTCATTTGTGAACTGAGCATTGTAACTTATATTTTAGAATATTGCTGTGATGACCCATACTATGTATTGCAATGACCTGGAAGTAACCCACAGCCTTTTATGTACAAAAGTGCAAATTTTTTTTTTTTTTAGGAGTGCTCTTCTAAAAACCATTGTTTCACAAGGCCTTCAGTTTACTTGTGCATGCTAATGTAGTTATCACCAACTGAAGGAAACCGACACACGAGGAACAATTGCCTATGTAATAAAAACATTCTTCATTTTCAAACTGATGCACAATACTGTCCCTCTGGACAGTAACTTGTTAACATGTATTAATTTTAATTTGCAAAGATGGGAATTTTAATACACTTTGGAGAATATTATAGTTGTTCCCATCTGAGGCAAGCATGCTAGGGCCTGTAAACTCAAGGCCAATGTCATTTTGGAGTTATGACTTTTAATTCTTACTCATCAAGGCAGAAATCAAAGCCCAGTATTTATTTACTCCAAATGTCTTTGTGAAACACACACACACACACACACACACACACACACACACACACACACACTATTTAAGCTCAGCTATCAAAGCACACATCTGAATAGAATAGCTTTATGTGTAGTAAGCCTGGGGAAGCGTATGAAGCCCACCCAGATGAGAACAAAGGATATTTATTTAGAGTGAGGGAGACAGCCACCATGGCTCACACTTGGCAGAGAGTCAAAGGCAGGCATGAGAGTGGGAAGGCTTAGCAGTGGGAAGGGGAAAAGACAAAAAGGCTCCAGGTGTGTTCAGCCTGGAGGCTGCTGACATGGAAAAGCTACAGGCAAGCTAACCGAAGAAGCAGCTGAGTAGAAGCAACGTATCCTCCATGATCGCTTTAGGGAATGTAATGTTTGGCCTTTTCTGGTTAGCTTTGAGTTGGAAGGGAATTGGTAAGGGATTGGAAAGCTGCCGGGCATTGACCAAGTCCGAACCTTCCTCCTGGCAGCCAGAGATGCTGGTTTGGCTGTTTTGGTGCTTGCAGCAGCCTGACAGTCTGACTTCTGTTGCCATATGTGGTCTGGCCACTGTCCATTTGTCAATTTCTCGAGTCATTAATTAGAAAATAAAATAAGTTTGAAAATCAAGGAAAAGCTAGACTAAAGACTAGGTGTAAGGCAGCTCCCATCTGTGGCAGGATAACACTTTGATGTAGTGAGAAGTGTCCTGTTTGTCTCTGATAACTCTTGTATCCCATATAGCCTCTCATTCAAGTCAGACTTTAGCATCTATTGCATCAGGGGGAAGGCTATTATAAAGGAAACCCCCAGATCAACATGACTTGCCTATGACTTTCTAGTTTAAAAATGGGCTTCTGAAATTCAAAGCAATAGCAGTGTTTGGAGAGAAAAAAAAAACATTTTCATTGAATTTGAAAAATCTGGATTTTGAGTATCAGGACTCAGGGGCATGAAAGATTCATACTGTAAAGTCTGTGTGGGGTTGAGGTTTGCAAAAATGATAAGCCAAGTGGTGTTTTCCCAATCCAGGAAGAGATCACAGCTCCGTGGGTTTGAGAAAAAGTAGTAGTGGATGAAGAAAGGTGCTCAGATATCGGAGAGACTGTCACTATAGAGTCCCACACATATCCCAGTGCCTGGGAGAGAGGGGATGGAACACCCTTGCCAGGTCTGAAGGTCTCTGAAGGAAGAAGACAAAGAGCAGGAGTGGCCTACACCTTCCTCCCAAGATGGAAGCCAGAACAGAGGTAGCCTTAGAGAACACACCAGCCCGACACAGTCCAGGCAGGCATATAGAGCCTGGCCAGAAGAAGGTCCTCTCCATCCACCATAACGTATGGTTTCATGTTGAGTGAGAATGGGACAGCTGTGACTCTGAGACACTATAGAATTGCTGCAACCCTGTGCCCAAAGTGTTTACATAGAGACGCGAGGATTCTTCTCTCTCAGGGTATGCTGTGGAAAGGGTGTCACGGCTAAGAAGCAAATGCCACCCTCTCTGCAAATCCCGGATACAGGCCAGCCTGGTGAGGAGAGGATGAAGAATGGGACTAAGAGAAGCCCAGGCCACGAAGACTGTCCGAGACTTCACTTTCACCTCCTCATGTCAAGGTTATGAAATAGAGATTAAGTTCAATTACAAAAAATAAAGTTCACATTTAGCAAATACTTATGGGTTTCGCATTAATGTAGCGTGCACGTTTATTTACTCTGACTCAAATTTGCTTTTAGCAGTTTAAAAAATAGAGTTTTCCATCTACTTAAGTAAATTTGGGGCATTATTGCCTAATTGTTTTCTATATAAATAGCAATGAAAATAGCTTGTGGCTCCAAAGAAATATCATAAGACCAATTGTTAATTAATCAAAATTTAATTGAGATTTTGTGTATCTGTTACACAGTTCCAATCAGTGAGTCTAAGAAAAGCCTATTTCTCACCATATAATATTTGGGCTATTTCAAATGACCAACATATCCACCAAAAGGTGAGTGAGCATGCCTTTAAATTCCAGGCAGAGACAAGTGGATCTCTGTGAGTTCAAAGCCAGCCTGATCTCCATAGATCCTTTCTCAAAAAAGCAAAAATTAAAATTTGGGATGGGAGAAATGGCTCTGTGGTTATGAAAGCGTATTGCTGTCATAGAGGGCCCAAGTTCAGTTCCCAATATATCCAGCAGCTCACACCTGCCTGTAACTCCAGCTCCAGGAAGATCCAGTTCATGTGCACATACCACACATGCACACATACACATAAATAAAAATAATAAAATGATAGCTTTAAAAAAAAGAAATATCATAATAAGACCAATTTAAACACACAATACTGTTAATTAATCAAAAATTTAAAATTCTGGTAAGTGGAAATTTCACCTAATATCTCAATTGAGTTCCTTTGCCTTCCCTGATGACATTTATTGATGAAATAAAAGTTCCTCCCTCTCTCCTTCTTTCTCCCTCCCTGTTTGATTTGGAGATAGACTCTTGCTACATAGCCCCCTCTAAACCTGTTACTAGGTAGCCTAAGCTACCCTTGAATTCTGGGGAATTCTCCTGCCTCAGCCTCTTGAGTTCTAAGAATTCAGCCATGAGCCAATAAAGAGAACCTTTAAAAAATGCTTCTCTTTATTTGATTTGTAGAGATATAACTGTGAACCTATAATAATAATATAATTCCCTGTGCTAAGCTATATATTGGTTACCAAGTATCAAAACAACCCTTTTGTGAGCCAAGTGTCTTGTAACGGGTCTTTCTTTGGACCACCAGCTCCGAAATAGCAGAGACTTTTTTTTTTTTTTTTTGGTTTTTCGAGACAGGGTTTCTCTGTGTAGCTTTGCGCCTTTCCTGGGACTCACTTGGTAGCCCAGGCTGGCCTCGAACTCACAGAGATCCGCCTGCCTCTGCCTCCCGAGTGCTGGGATTAAAGGCGTGCGCCACCACCGCCCGGCATATTAAGTATGAAAGCTTGTCCTTGGCTTTTAAAACCAGCTCTTAAAACTTAACATGTTTATATTAATCTACATTCTGCCACGTGACTCGTTACCTTTCCTCCATACTGTACTTCCGACTTCCTCGGTGTTTCGCTGGCAAATCCCACACACCTCAGATTCTTCTTAGACTTCGTATCTCTGCCCAGAAGTCCCACCTATCCTCTCCTGCCTAGCTATTGGCTGTTCAGCTCTTCATGAAACCAATTAGAATGTGCCTTAGGCAGATGAGGTAAAACAGAGACACATCTTCACACAGTGTGAGCAAATATCCCACAACAATGTCTTGTACATATTATGCTATTTTCTTCTTCTAGTCATTCTTGAGAGTTGATGTCCTTACTACACCACAGGAAAGCAAGACTGAGCACAAGGCGCCACCAGGAAAAAGGAGGTCTGAATACAAATTCCATCCCGCTGACTCCCCAAGAGATGAAGCACAGTTCAATTGACCCGTACCACACTGCTGCTCTTCCATGCTCAGCCATTTTAACACTTTTGGGGTGGAAATCAAGCCCATGGATGTGCTAAATAATTATAATTTCATCTTTATTCTAATTTTTACATGGTTGTTATGGAAACGAAATCATCTGTAACAAAACACTCAACACTTCAAAAGTAACATACTACATTTTAATATTTTGCAATCAAATATGGTATTCAGTAAACAGTTACAGAAGACAGAAATGTTTTGACTTACCCCCTTTGAGAAACACCACTCATAGCAAGAAACACTTTTCTATCACAGAGAATTTGTCTCATACGTGCTGTTGGGTTATATGTTGTCTCTTTATACCCTAGAGGGAAGGAGTTGAGCAGAAAATACTCAAAGTCGAAGTACGAGACTACGTAAGACATTTCAATAGAAAAAATTCATCAAAAACTAAGTAGATAAATTAAAGATTCAATAGTGAGTCTTGGGATAGCAATTGTATTTTTTTTTGTTATTGTTGTTTAAATACATTAAAGGTATTAAATCCATATACAGATGTGAAGGAAGAACTCTTGTATCAACTCTTTTTTGTTTTGTTTTGTTTGAGACAGGGTTTCTCTGTGTAGCTTTGGAGCCTGTCCTGGAACTCGCTCTATAGACCAGGCTGGCCTTGAACTCACAGAGATCCGCCTGCCTCTGCCTCCCAAGTGGTGGGATTAAAGGCATGCGCCACCACTGCCTGGCCTCAACATTTTTTTTTTTGAAGACAGGGTCTCACTATGTAGCTCTGGCTGGCCTGGAATTGACAGAGATCTTAACTGCCGAGACTTCTCACAAGCTCCAGAAGACTAACTTCTAATGTTTCATAGCTCTGTAGAATAACTATGGTTGGCAACAATTATTTATTTGAACATTTCAAATACCTAACAGAGAGAACTTTGATTGTTCCCAATGCAAAGAAATGATAAATATGAGATGATAAATGTATGCATTAATAAACATGCTATTTATCATGATCTGTCCATTAAACACTATAAACATGTATTGAAATGTCAGGCTGAACTCCATAAATATGTGTCAATTAAAATGTGACATTTTATTCTGAATGTGGTGGAACATGGCTTAAATCTCAGTAGTCAGAAGGCAGAGGCAGGTAGAGACCAACCTGGTCTACATAGCAAGTTCCAAGCCAGCCTGGGCTACACACACAGTGAAAACCTCTCTAGATAGATAGATAGATAGATAGATAGATAGATAGATAGATAGATAGATAGATAGATATAGATATAGATTATTTGAATCATTTGGCTTCTAGAATGAGAGGTAAAGCTCTGAGATTCCAACTAGACCAGACTCAATGAGGAATGTCCCTAAAGATCATGACAGTGTCATCCCTGTAGCCACTTTGTGGCAAATCATTCCATTAACAAAGTAAATGTAGGTCTGTGGAATAATTTTTCAAAGTCAGGCAAAGGTTAAATTATGCAAACATTAAATATTGCAAATCAAAACCCTACTGACCTAGAAATTCATCCTAATAGACATATTTGCAACCTCTAAATGCAAACTTTAAAAGGCAAATTTGGCAACCCATATGCTGAGCATCAATTAATTAGGATGCTTAAGGAATGAAATGCTCTTGTTAGCTTAAGTTTCTAACTAGCTATGATTAAGCCTTTAAAAAAGATCCGCAGACCCTTATATTTCAATTCTTGCCACTGAAATTCCTAGTCACATATTTGAATTGTAATGCATCAGAATTATTGATGCCGTTATATGGAATTGAAAGTGTAGCCGATGTGGGCTGGGCTAAGTGTGCCTAGGTCCCAGGGTATGTGTTTACATTCATGCGTTTTGTTAACCCCACTTATGATGTGAGCTTATTTTTTGTCTTTCACTGTGAAAACAGTAGATAAGGTGGTGGATTTATTTCATTTAAACAAGCATTTTGTAGACATTCATTGAAATGTATAAACTTCTGGTTAATTTTGGTGTGAATTTTTTTATTTGAAAGTTCTTTATAATAAAGTTTTTATTAAACAAAAACAAAACAAAAGCCAGGCATGGTGGTGCAGACCTTTCATCTCAGCTTGGGAGGTGGAGGCAGGCAGATTTGTATGAGTTTGAGGCCAACTTGGTCTACATAATGAGTTCCAGGAGAGCCAGGGGTATGTAGAGAGACCCTATCTCAAAAATAAAATAAAACAAAATAAATTTAAAAAGTAAAAAACAAACAAACAAACAAAGACAAGCATTCTGCTTGAAGCCTACTAAATACAAGCACATTAGTAGCACTATGAACATAAAAGTAATGAAAGTGTTTCTTAATAATACTTTAAAATTTCACACATATATGGAATATATCTTGAGCATATCTACTCCTCATTTCCCCCTCCAACACACCCTAGGACTTCCCATTCCATCTCCCTCCCAACATCATGTCCATTTATTAGGCATTTATTGATTGTAACCTACTGAGCCCAGTTGGTGTTGCCCATATATATGCATGTGGGTATCGGTTCATACACTGGGCTTGGGCAACCTACGGTGGCCACACTTGCAAAGGAAAGTGACTCGCCGTCTCAGCAGCCATCAGCTGCCAACAGCGTCTCCGTAAGGTGTGGGGCCGTGGGCGCGTCTCCCACTCCACGCTGGAATATTTAACCGGCCTGATAAAGTGTGGTGAGGGTTTTTAAAAGCAGAAGATGGATTCCGCGTCACCGACAGAGGTGGTGACCAGATGAGTTGAACCTGGAAACAAAATGAGTTGGCCATTGCCTGACGAGGAAGAAAAAGGCAGTCTTCAGACCGAAGGAGCAGATGCAGCGAAGTGACAAGACCTGAATGCACGCAGAGTTCAGGGAAGCGAGGTAATCCAGTGGGCCTGTGGTGACCGTGTCCAAGGGAGGCCACGGGTAAGGTCAGACCAGATTGTGAGTGACCTCATCCCAACAGGCTGCGGACCTGGAGGTAGACCGAGCAGGGTTCTCCAGAGAACACCGCTGGACTGTGACACACCTTTCCCAGACCCTGAAACCTACCTATCCCTTCACTTGTAAGTTATGCCACTAAATGAAGCTCCCTTTTAACTACGTGGAGTGGCCTTAATAATTTCACCAATAGGGAAACAATGATATGAAATTTTAATTAAATAAAGACATACAAATACTAAAGAAAACCTAATCTAAAATGCGCTGGAAAGGAACATTTCAATTAGTCACACATGAAGCTCAGTGGAAAACCTCACCAA